TCATTGTCAGGTGACGCTCAAGTAGGTGTAAATGTAGAAAAATGTTAAAAAATTCACTAGGGGTGTCACAATACCAGAGATTTTGTAGTCAGTATAGACACCAATAGAATTGCACTATTCTTGGTTACCAATTTAGTATTGTAATAAAACAATTATCTCATGTACTAACACATACTAAAAGTCCTTTATTGAAAAGCTAGTTTAACATGTTCAAATTATATGCTCAGTCATCCAGGACATGGTGGTTTTGAGTGCTTAAAAAGGTTTTTCCTTCCCAAGTTTGACATGTGCAATAGTGCTGTTTACACATTGCCTTTTGTGAATCAGTTATCACTGTTTATGGATCCACCTTAAATGAAAAGTACTTTCATAGCTGACTCTTACTGCCTTTTTTGTCAGTGAGTCAAGGTAGAGCTGCACTACGTGAAAAAAAGAAAGAAAAAAAGAAGTAAAGGAAAATTAGCATCAGAAACATTTTGTAATAGGTACCTGATTGTGTTCATAGTTGTAGACAGTGCTCAAAGTGAGGTTTATAAGTTAATGTTTGCATTTTTCAGATTTCTGTCTGGAATTGTAAACTGATCCTGAAATTCTTTTCGTTTGCACAGCTTGTTTCGCTTGATTACAAGGTGCTGTTAATAAGCAACCTGCCAGAGTATCACGATGGCTGTTATGCAGAGGAGGACATCGCCCGTCTGCTCACTCGACACCGATTTGAGTATTACGACGACACGATCTACGTTATACCACAGGCACGCATGGTAAGCACCAGTTTGCATTGGGCTGGGTTATGACCTTCATTTTAATGGCGCTCTAAATCTCTTTTGTAAGATGACCTAGCTAACATTTAGTTAGTTAATACATATTTTGTGAGTGCCTGTCTTCATGGTTATGCAGTACAAATCAGTGTTTGGTTGTTTGTTTTTCCTTCAGGCTTTTGCCCTCATGCCGACAGCAGTGGCAGCTAAAAACATCGTGCTAGTATCAGAAAATCATGATTTTATTCTCAATGGGTCTAAACTTCGACTGCAGGTTGAGAAGGGCAACATTTTAATGACGCCGGTAAGCACTGTGTGTAGATAATGCAATCTACTGTTGTGACAGATGTTATTAAAATTATTTGAAAATATTTGTTTCTGCTTGTTTATTTAAAGTGTGATTATAAATGTAAAAAAATATTTCTTTTTGTAGAAAAAAAATACCTTTAAGCTGAAATAAATCGAACCGAATCCGAAGTGATGTAATGATTTTGAACTGTTTTTTTCCTTTCAGCTTGAGTTTTATAAGTCTCTGATGAAACGGCTATGCTATGTAAGTAATGCACATATCTCAGAAACAAAGACTGCACTAGAATACCTTTAGATTTATTGGTCAGAGTATAAAGTCATAACTGGAAGCACTCACATCCAAGTCGAAACACCTTGAAAAATGGGGACATACCCGGTTTTCTCGAAGCAGCAAGTGACTGACAATGGAGCACGATTAATCTACATCAGGAACATCTCGCCAGGCGAGTCCCGGGATCTCAGAGAAGCTTTGAAAAAAATGGATTGTGTAAGAAACTACCTGCCTCTTCTCAACAAGGTATAAACACACTCATAAATGCCAACAAGTGCATGTGTTAGAAGTCTGTGAAAGGCTGTATGAGATATGTGCTTGTGTAAGTGTAATCTTAACCATACAGAAAAATTGACAGATTAACCACACCAAACTAAAGGACATGCACCAACCTTCATAAATCCATCCTTACAAAGAGATAATGTGTCTAGATTTGGATGCTACTTATCTTGAGGAAAGCACAACTGCAAAACTATAGCGATAGTAAAGAGAGACTGCCGATAAGCTGCTCGCTGAGCAATTCTTCATATGCTCATGCGCACTAGTATTTATCACATTACAGCATTAGTGCAGGGGTCATGTTGAGCATGGCTCCAGTGCATCATTGAGCCAGGATTTCTGACTTTTGAATCCAGTGAACTCCACAGTAAAGCTGTACTTAGTTCACTCTTTCCACGTGTGCTTAGCACTTATTTTCTAACATTTACAATGTGAAGGTAAAATGTTCAGAATACATTTTCTTTCTTGTGTTTCAGGTGTTTATCGAATTTCAGTCTCTTCGTGATGCTGATCGCCTTGGCGTTTGGTACAGCCTTCTGAAACGGGCCACCGGCCACAAATTGTCAAGGCTGAAAATACCACAGTGTGGATGTACCTCACTGCGTAAGTGTTTTTTAAATGGGATTTTAAACAAAGATGATTTAAATGAATAAAAAAGATGGGTTAAGTTAATGGAAGGTCATCTGGTAAGACCTTTCTTTCGCTTTCTGTTTGTGAAACACTCGTGAATAGATTTTTCAGTTCTCCCCTGGGCTGTGGATAAAGTGCAGACAAAACTGCTGATTTATTGTTGTTCACAATAAATCATTGTGACACATTCCCTCAACTTTTATCCACTAACACTGTGATTCTGGTTCCCACAAATCCTTTGATGCTCATTTGCCTTATTATCTCTCTGACCTCTTTTCTGGCCCCTCCAGAAATCTTTGCTCCATCAGTGGTCAATTTCCTTCTGCTTGTCTCTGCCCCAGACACATGAACCAGAGCCATTACTTAAACTGCACTTTTTCAGTCTGGCATTTGATCTAACCCACTAATCATTGTTTTTCTGATGTCTATGATACCTTGGGTATCTGTAAAGGTGCTTAAAGTTCAAATAAAAGTCAAAACATTGATATTACTGGATCATTGTAAACATTAAAAATCAGGAATCCTTGAGTAAATACCAAGAGGTGTCCATTTTTCCAAATACTCACCTCAAAAACCACATTTCTTTTTTTCTGCTAAACTTGGTTTCATTTTGTCTTCTCTATGTGGTCAGTAATAATAATAATATATATTTTTTAAAAAGTACCGCAAAGTTTCTCTTCAAATAAACTTTGGTTCTTGAACCTTGTGTCTTGCAGAAAGCCCAATCTCAAGGTTCTACGTTCTCCACGATCATGTTGACCGGTTTGCCAGAAGGAAACTACAGACAGGAGGATGTCACCAAGCTGGTGTGGCGTTACGTCCCTGATCAGACTGTTCAGACTCTGTACTACAAAATAATCGTTTTATCACTGCAGAGGAGGGTGAGGAGTAGACCCAGCAGGCTGATACAGAGAAATTTGCATTTGCAAATTGAATTCAATTTAATGATTAATATTGAATGTTTCCTCTGCATCATTTTTCCCCTCCAGGCCTTTGTGTTTTTTAACAGCTGGGATGCGTGCTGCGATTTCGCCAGGGATTACCTTAAAAATCCAGTTACTGTTGGAGAGTGGACGCTCAGAATCCACATTGTTTTACAAGACATGCTTCCTGGTACAAGTGAGGTATGAAAATGGAGCAATCGGGGGCTGTTAAATCAGGGGCATGCTCCTGTTTCACTCAAACTATTCAGATCCCAATCAAAACAGATTTCTCCTCTAAGGAGTGAGCACAGCATCATCCTTCTCTGGGCTAATATTAATAGAATGAGAATACTTTATTGATCCCTGGGGGAAATATATTGGTTACAGTACAAACAGTAACAAAGACAGATACAAGAAGTAAGGAATAGCACAATATATACAATATATACATACATATAAGTCACTTATTGATAAATATCTGAATAAGAAATGGAAAAGCTAAAAATATGCATGAATTTCAAATCAACTATTTATTGTTACTTTGTCTGTATTTGTTCCTTTTTGCAACAGCAGCACAAAAGCTGCATGAACTTTATCCACTTTTCTGTTCATAGGCGACAACCCACGTCATTCCGCCACCACTTTAAATTTCCACAGAGCTCCTTGTGAAGTCAGCCCCGTGTAAACTTTAAAGACCCAGACATAGGTTATAGAGTGTTTTACTGACTATTAAGTAATGCCCTTACTTATTTTGAAACTTCAGTCGCTGCTAACCTTCAAGCTTCAGCGTTTCCCATCTCAAGTTTCCTTGTGGGCTAGCTATTCAGGAGCTTTCTGAGAACTCTCTCCACAGCTACATGTTAAGAGGAATTGAGGTCTGACAACTGTTGCGGAAAGTCACTGAGTGTTAAGGATGGTGAGTTAGTGAACCCAGACGCGGACCTCTCGTTAAAGTTGAACAGTGTCTTTATTTACAGTGAAGCCAATCCACAGTTATCCATAGTGCAAGTCCCTTCAGTGCTCCTCTCCCCGTCTCTCCTCGTGTGTCCACACAACTCCCGTGAATCAGTGACGTCTCTCCTTCCGTCTCGTTCGCTTCCTGGGAAAAGGCAAAACAGCCACGATTAGCCTCCCTCCGCTATCAAACACTTGCTTTACCCTTGCTGAGCTCGAGTCACTACCAGGCTTGGTGCAATACTCCAGCGCTGTCTGTCACTCAGCCACACCATTAAATAGCTCTGCCAACGACGGTGGATGATTGGCAGCAGCTGGCGAGGAATCAGTCGCAGGTGGGACAGCAGGTCAGAGCGCAGCACTTCCGGCTCGGAGATCTCCCATTGCTACGCGACCGCGTAACAATCGCAGCGGAGCAGGAGAGGAAAAAACAGAGCGAGAGAGAGGAGAACAAACACACACATACACACAGGTCGCCGGTCGGGGCACCGTCAGACCTGACACTGAGACTCAAATAGCATCAAATAGTTCCTGCAAAACCTTGGTTATATGTTGTGTCGTTACTGTCCTGAAGTATGAATCCTTTGCCACAAAGATGCAAACCAGGATCGAGTCACTTCTCACTTACAGTGGAGTCCAATATTTATCTTATTAAATGTGGTCACTAGAACATTAAAAACACTCTAAGCAGGAGGAGAGTTATTCAGTATTTATTGTACAAACAGAGGATCAGTGATTGATGTAATCCCCTTTCATCTTCTACTCTTTTCACAGGAGAGCATGTATAGAAGCATGATGAAATGGAGCACCACTGTAAGGCAGCAGTCACATAAATCTGTCTTGTAAAAGCAGCAGGCTCGGGTCTCCCTGATCTTAACGCTGGTTGTTTTTCAGCATGTTCTGGAGTCGGAGTCTCTGGAGGACCAGCTGCTGAGTGTGGAGGTCTCCGAGGTGAATGTGGACCTTGTCATGATGATCATGGAAGTGGTGGCGTCCATTGCTGCTTTTGTCAGATTCTTGCCGCTTGCCAACAGGGTACGATTTCATAAACACGTGCAACTTTTTTATGTTTTACAGAAGGCTGCAAGGCTTGTCATGGTGTCTGCTGTTCTTTTCATATTGAGAAACATTTTAAATGAGTCTGAAGGAGACTTTGTTTTTTTAACACGAGTTGAGCAAGTTTAAATATTCCATGTACAGACAGTCCCTGCGGCAGGCAATCTGAATTTGACATGCCTTTGCAAACACTGGTGAAGAAGGACTGCCTGAAATGCAGCAAGTTCTCAACCAAGTAGTAATCTTATGACCTGTTCAGCCTTTTGTCCTGGCCCATCGAGCAGGGGAGATCCCTGCAGTTTGAGGCAGCGCTAAGTTATTCTTTTAGTGTTTCTTGCTCAGTGGTTTTATTGTTCAATCAAAAACTTTGCAAAAGTATAGAAATATGTTTGCACTTATTTCCCATTTGCAAGTTTAAAACCCCAAGATTTTTTTTTCTTTGCCTTGTACTATCGTACAGGGCAGTAGAGAAACTCGCCAGGACAAATTCTTTATCGCCCTGTACAATACAAATCGTGCCTGTAGCACACCCATTGAGTACCACTGTGTTGCTCAAATATCCTTTCTGTTTTCTCAGATATGCATTGAGATGGCCGAACCTGGTGGATTAACACAGGTGATGGAGAGCAAAGTCACCAAGGACTATTTATCTGCTTGGTAAGTGTGTCCCACAATCAGAAGTGAGAAAAAGAGGAAATTTATTTTACACTGTGTTTGTTCATTTTCTTTAAAGTGTCTTCATGTCTGTCTGACCTTGTGCTTTTTTTCTCTCCTCTTCATAGGAGTAAAGCTGGACGTATTGAGTCGTGAGTATCTTTCTTTTTCAGGTTTAGTGGCAGAGTCAAATATACCATACACTCCTCAAGGTCGTCTATAGTAAACAGTTCCCAAAGATGCAAAAAGAGAAGAATGTGATTTAGATATAAGCAACTCTAGATTAGGAATTTGAAATGGAATTTCTTATTTCACATGAACATTTTGTGACAACAAACCTCTTTTCGTGGTAACCTACTGGCATCTTTGCTTTTAAATTCCGTTTGAAGAGCCTGAAACAGCGTCTGCAAGACTCTGGTGACAACAAAGTTAACCTCAAAATGAAAACCAAGAAGACCGCAGAATCGACTGATGCAGTGACCAAAGGTGACTGCCAGGCGGAGAGCTAGAGGACCGAGGAGGAGGCAGTGACCCAGCCCGATGCTGCAGCCGCCCCTGCTGGACAGCAGCCAGAGCCCAAGTGTCCTGATGACGAGACACAGGAGGGAGAGGAGAATGATGGATGGAGCATGGCCGACATTAAAGGTACAAAGAGCTGCTTTAAATCAGCAAAATACACCGCTCTGACAGCCAAAACACAGTAAAGTGAATATAAAAAGAAAAGTTGTGATATTTTATGGCTCTGATCTCATATTTGTGCTCCTCACTGTGCTACAGACATTCAGCCTGGTGGTAGTAATATATTTTACATATGTGGTGGTTAAAAAAAGCTCCGTTGGTGCGATGACTATATCCCACACCATCACCAGCCTGAGATTTTGATACAAGGCAGGATGGATCCAAGATTTCTGACCCTACTATCCTAATGTCACAGCAGAAACTGAGATTCAACAGACCAGGCAGCGTTTTTATTTTACAGCGTTGCTGAGCCTGTGTGAATTGTACCCTCAGTTTTGCGTTCTTAGCTTAGAGAAGTCGAACCCAGTGTGGTCTTCTGCTGCTGTAGCTCATCTGCTTCAGTGTTGGATGTGCTGTGCGTTCAGAGATACTCTTGTGCATTGTAATAAGTGGTTGTTTGGCTTGCTCTGGCCTTCCGGTCAGCGTGAAGCAGTTATTTCATTCTCCTCTAAACTCAAAAATGCATTTCCTCCAGGGAACTGCCACTCCCTGGATATTTTCTGTTTCAGACGATTTTATGTAAACCCTAGAGATGCTTCTGTGGGAAAATCCCAGCACATCAGCAGTTTTTGAAATGCTAAGATCAGCAAACATGCCACGTTTAAGTGACTTAAATTATTTTTCTTCTTCATTCTGATGCTCAGTTTGAATTTCAGCAGGTCATCTGACCATGTCTACATACCTAAATCACTAAGTTGCTGCCATGTGATTGGCTGATTAGAGAGTCACATTAATGAGCAGTCAAACAGGTGTACCTAATAAAGTGGCCGATGAAGGTTTCAGCTTTTCAAGTAAATCGAAATCATTTGTTCAATTATTATTGAGTTATAATTGAATGTTTAAATATTTTATAAACCCAGTGGCTCCTGTAGCAGATTTGTTGATGATTAACGTGTCGCTCTTTTCATTTTCAGTTGTGGGTAAACGCAGGAGGGAGCTTGTCGGACCTGAGGCAAAGCCATCTCGCTCTCAGTCTCCGTGTGTTGTAGCAGATTTCAGACTGCCTCAGTTCAACCCTAACAGCCCCATCGGTCAGACACACACACTCTAAATTCAAATGTGTTGTTAATACTTGTCTAATCTTCCTGTTTCTGCTTCTCTGCAGGTCAGGAGTTTGTGGTCCCTAAATCAGGATTTTTCTGTAACATCTGCTCTGTTTTCTGCCTGAATGAGAAGACCGCCAAGGAACTCCACTGCTGCAGCCAGAAACACTACGACAACCTGCAGGTACGCACGCACATACATATACACGATTCAGCACACAAAATCACACTGTTGGCCTAACGATGTTTGTTTTCTCGCTTTTCTGTTTTTTTAGAAATATTATGAGGAACGTCGACAAAGAGCTACAAAAACTTTGTCTCAGACGTCTCCAGGCTCCGGTTCTGACTGATGGACCTGATCTACTGTATTTTTAACACATAACTGTGCAGACAGTGGCGTGTCTAGAAAATTTTTTTTGGGGGGGCCAGGTAGGGCACAGATTTGTAGAAGGGTGGCACATGTAATTGGCAGATAATGTTAAAAAAAAATTCTACCAACCGTTAACCATAATTCAATAATCCTATAAACCTAATAACCGGATGCGCTTTTAACTTTTATTAGAATGAGATTTTCACCACTATAGTGAAAAGTGTTTAGATACTGTGTTGATAAAGTACAAGAGATACAATCAGTGCTTTGTCAGTTTATTCAGCATTCAAGGACAAGTATTTTTACTGACAAATAGTGCACATATGTTTTGGGCTAAAACATTTTTGAACATTAAACTACAAACATTTTTAACATACAATTGGCAAATTAGCCAATGCAATGCAAAACTTATTTAAACTTATTAAAATATACTGAACTTTTAATAAGACTCTGTTACATGTTAAGAAGACAAGAAGTACAAAAACATTTGTGAACAGCAGCACTTGTAGTTGCAAAATATTAATTTTTTGATAGAGAACATTTACTCAAGTACCTACTCTATGCTTCATTAAATATTATCAATGACTTAGAATAGGTAGATCCGCCTGTTACAGTGACGGGTGGCGAAACGTGTTACAAAGTCATCCAGGCTTAATGATCTTGCCCTTTTCCTCTCAATACTCAAAACTCCAATATTGCTAAGCCTCTCATCAGTCATAGTTGTTCGTAGATGATTTTTTATAAGCTTTAGCACTGAAAAGCTACGTTCACAAGTAGCACTGCTGACAGGTAAAGCTAAAGCTATTCGACATAAACGAAAAAGCTGATGAAACACCTCTTTGTAAGACTCTAGGAAGGTAGTAAACCCCAAAATACTGGAGAGTTCATTCCCACACCCTGCTCTCCTTTGAACAACCTTTCTAGCTTGATACAGCTCATGTTTGAGGTCTTCAATATCACAGTCATACAGACCAGCCAAGCTTACAACTATTTCCTCTGACAAAAAGCTCTTACTCTTGGGGTTTAGTGCCTGTATACCCCTCATAATATCACAATTGGTCTTGTTGAAGCGCTTCTCCATCTCTGCATGTACATGGTCAAGAATGGGGTAAAATACTTCCCTCTTAAACTTGTCCTTGTCATCCTCCTTACACCTGTGTTGCCCGATTGGAGAATCTACAAAATAACCCTTTAGCCTGAGGCTCTCTCTCTGCACCCTTCTCTTAACTGTCTCAGAGGCAACAGTACACTGTTCTGCAATATCCATTGCGTCTTGCCACAGCTCATCAAAACAGGATTCACTTCTATATTGGTCCAAGGTGTCTTGAAGTGCATGAATTAGGTCTACAGCCTTTGCTAGATCAAGAGATGGAGACTGAAGTACATCAGAAAGCAACTTAATTTCCCCTAGAATTTTTCTAAATGTGGATAAATTGCCAATAAATGTGAGGTCAATTTGTGCCAACAGACCCCGTGCCTCCACTGATCTGTCACCGCTGTTCTCTAAATCTATCTCATGTAGCACTCTTAATATAGCTGGTAATCTGTCCATTACAGTTTTGCATGCACTGTAACGACATGCCCACCTGGTATCACTGAGTCTCTGAAGCTCTCTAGGAGCCTCTGGATACATGTCTTTTTGAACTGTGATCCATTTTTGGTGAACATATGAACCTGACATGTAGACATACAATTTCTGCAACAATGAAAAAAAGCAGTGTGCTTCAGGGACTGATTTCACTGCATCAACGATAACAAGGTTAAGGCAATGTGCATTGCAATGTACATAAAATGCATGTTTTGCCTCTGTTTTGATCCTGGCTGCAACACCCCTGCATTTCCCTGCCATTACTGACGCCCCATCATATCCTTGGCCTACAAGATTGGATCTATATTCAAGGCCATACCTTTCCAGACACTGTATGATATTTTGAGTGAGCCCTGCTGCATCTAGCTGACTTGCTCTCTGGAACTCTAAAAAACTCTCTTGAACAGCCCCATTGTAGTAATACCTTAGTACTAATGACAGTTGCTCTGTTTTCTTTAGGTCTTTTGTTTCATCTGCAATCACAGAGAAGTACTCACTCTCCTTTACTTCTCTGATAATGTCTTCACGTACCATCTCTGACAGACATTCGATTACTTCATTCTGAATGGTGTTACTGGTATATTTTGCATTTCCTGCAGCTTTCATTTTTTTTGCAATCAGTGGATTATGCTTAGAAAGAAGTTCCATTAACTCTAAAAAGTTCCCCTTGTTTTGTGATGTATCTGTCTCAAGATGCCCCCTTTGGGAGAGGTTTTGCATAGCTGTAAGGAGAACTACTTCAGCAACAGTTTTGATATATATGCGATTTTCCTCTACTTTTTTTTATATGCCTTGTCCAAAGCATCACGCACAGATGAATCTGTCAAAATGTTTTTCTGATGTTCACTCCAAGCATACATGGCATTCGTATGACCTTCAGATTTCTCATGCCCCTTAAAACCTCCATCTTTATACATTGCCTTCTTCCAGTTTGAGTACCCTTCATGTGATGTAAAAGGAGTTTCAGAAGCATTTGGAATGGAAAAGTATCTACATGCAAAACAATAGACAGAGTCCCGACTTTGAGAATATTCCAGCCATTTGTGTTGTGAATACCATGTCTTGCTGAAGGCCCTCCTCTTTTCACCATGTACTGTTCGAGGAAATATCTTCAAGTGTGGCTGTCTAGGTCCCTCCGCTGGATTTTGAGATATATCTAAGTGTGGGAGGATTCAATTTAAAAATCAATGAAGAATTGTTTTTGATCTAGAACAACATCTCTTGCAAAAGTGACAGTATCAATATTATAAAATATTTAATGCACAATTAGAGGCTTTCAATATTAATCTATGAAGTAAGATTGGAGGTTAAATACCATGTGGATGGCCCAGTGTCGTACATGATGTTGAAGGAGAAGATGTTTCAAAAGGCACCACATCCTGGTTATCTGGTGGATCATGAACAGGTGAAAAAGTGCCTGGGATAATATAAAAATATTACATTTCATTAAATAAAAAAACATGTTATTTAAAGCAGGATTTTGTTTTAATTTCCAATTATGTACCACAATACATATATTCACTTATTTAATTATTTATTCCCAAATATTAGGATTTGTCCCCTATGGATCGGTTGAACACTTGACAATATAAACATCCCTTCCTTGCATTTTCCTTATTCATTCTCACATACCTTCATTTGTAGAAATCACAGGTGACAATGATGACTGCTGCTCAGTCCACCTTTCCCTGACATTGCTCTCTGCTTCTGGCGTTATTTTAGCCTTCTTAAGGAAGAAATTCTCAATATTTTGAGATCTTTTCATTCTCCACTCCTATTCTTCTATCTATACTGGTTGGCCCTGAAGTAATAAAGCAAAAACTTATGTCACAAACAACAACTTTCTTGATGTATGACCTTGACTGGAAGTCAGGGATGTCAAATTCTTGCCCTTATGGACCCCTATCATGCATGTTTTAGATGTTACCTATACCAACATAGCCAATTCAAATCAAATAATCCCCAAACACCTAGTTGTGCACAAGTCTGTAAATGATTCTTTAAATCAGCTGTGTTGAAGTATGGAAACATCTGAAACCAGGAGGACCAGAACTGCACATCCCTGCATTGAACATGGCACAAACTTTGGTAATATTGATGTATAAAGAACAACACTGGCTGATGATGAAGTACAGTCAGCTGGCATGGCGACACTGCCAGTATTAACCTGCAACTTGGATTATATCTTATAACTAATAACTCTTATGCTAGCTCCGCGGCCGCCCAGTAGCCTACTGAAATATTCGGCGGTTGCAATAATTCTTTAAGTGTTATTTTTTCCTTGGTATTCTAATTTCACCGAAGTTTACTAAACTCAACAAACTTAATATTACTTACCAGGACATTTATTCTCTCATCATTTTCTTTTGCCGGAAAATAGCTTTCTGTGGTGCCGTCTTTCTCCTTCCTTTGCCGATGCTGCATTCACTTACACTCGGATATCTGAGCTTCACTACGAAAACGTAATCGTACATTTGATATTTAATTGAATTTTATTGTTTTAGCTTCGGGGTGGCACCTGGGGTGGCCAGTCTGGTTTGGGGGGTGGCCTGTGCCCCCCAGGCCACCCCGCTGGACACGCCACACTGTGCAGAGTGTATATATATATGTATATGTGTGTGTATGTGTGTCCTGGATGACTGTGTACATGTTTGGGGTTTTGTGATTTGTTTCTTCCAAACGGCCGGCAGACAGAACGTTTAAAAAAAAAAGGACATTTATCATTTCTTCTCCAGCCAGCCCTTCTCATGGTTTTTACAAAGTACACAGCACAGCAGATTCTGCAATATTCTTACACACTCTACCTACCTACTTCTGTCTTCATTCTAAACAATTACACTTTCTGGAAAGTGCTTTCAATAAAACACAAAACAAAACCATCTTTTCTTTGCTATTATATTCAACATCTCTTCACGGTGTAGTGAGGAAGGCCAAAAACAAAGAGAGCCTACCAAGGTAATGTAATATTCATGAAGTAGGCGCAGTTTTGAAGTGGTGAAAGGCAAAGGCATGAGTGCAAGCGTAATAAAAGGTAATAGGAGAGATGTCGAGCAGGCGGAGGACTTGGCTGGAGCAGGAAAAGGCAAAAGGGGAAACGCGAATGCGCATCCCCGCCCCCCAAGCTAGGGCCGTGGCAGCGAGATCGTGGGGGTTCGAACTGGCGGCGCTCTGTACCAGAGTGCTCTGCCACACATCATACGCCAAACGGCCGGCCGAGAGAATGGTTAAAAAAAAGGACATTTATCATTTCTTCTCCAGCCAGCCAGCCAGCCAGCCCTTCTCATGGTTTTTACAAAGTACACAGCACTGCAGATTCTGCAATATTCTTACACACTAATTAAGCATTGGAAACCTACCTACTTCTTTGTTCATTGTAAACAATTGTACTATCTGTAAAGTGGTTTGAATTAAAGAGAAAAGAAAAGTATGTTTTGTTTTGTTTTTTTTCTTCAAGATCTGTTCACATGTACTTAGCAAGAGTGAGTACACAGCGTTAAAAAATGGTACTTAGTGTAGTGAAGAAGGCGAAAAGCAAAGAGAGCATATGAAGGTAATATT